ACGTGGTCAATCTATGTGAAACTGCACATAGGCATTGAGGAATGGCATAGGTAGAAGGTGACAAAGCTACCAATGGGTATGGACTAGTTTTAGTTGTTTTTAGTTGTTGTCTTATATGACAGTTATCTGACTATTTTTTTAGGTTTTTGAGTGCTAGTTGGACAAGACATTTGATGACATTGCATTGAGCTTTAGGAAGTTATACTTTGCTTTCTTTGTTATTGTCTGTTTGTTTTTTTACATTTCACAATTAATAGAGAAGATAATCAAACAGGAACAAATGATGATGAGAATAAACATTAGTTTCTGCCTGCCTGTCATGCTAATGTTAGCATCTTAAACTTACAATATCAAATTATCCATAATCACCTGCTGCTTTACCAAAGTGAAATTATTTGCCATGGGCTGCCAGATCAGCCACTTGCTGGCATTCAAGAAGAGTATGGTTGGTTACATTTCTGTAATTCCTCCCAGGCTACAGCACAGTCAAACCCAGGATCACGGGCAGCCTGCCCCATCAACCCGTCTAGAAACCTCCAGTGCCAAGACCTTGATGGACATCGGGACCCGCCGGATCTTTACCGAGGACCATGATATCTACAGACAAAGCGTCCGGCGCTTCTTTCAAGATGAAGTGGCTCCACACCACAAGGAGTAGGTGGAAGCATGGCACATGCTCAGAACAACCACAAAGAAATGCAGAATTAATCAGTTACTTTCCCACCTCACTATAATCCCCTTTTCCATGTTCCAGGTGGGAGAAGGCAGGTCAGGTGAGCAGGGAGGTGTGGGAGAAGGCTGGTGAACAAGGCATGCTGGGAGTGTTGATACCAGAGGAGCACGGTGGTATCGGAGCAGACGTGTTTTCTGCGGCTGTCGTGTGGGAGGAGCAGTAAGTTGCCTTGGAAATTTGAAAACATCCATCATATCAAAGATCAAACTATTTTTAATTTTTTTTTTTTTTTTGCCCTTCAGAATGTACTCCAACTGCTCAGGGCCGGGTTATGTCCTGCACTCCGACATTGTCATGCCCTACATCTCCAACTATGGTAGCAAGGAACAGATTGAACGCTTCATCCCTGACATGACTGCTGGGAAATGCATCGGCGCTATTGCCATGACGGAGCCGGGAGCAGGCAGGTCAGGACTTGAGCGTAGGTGTAACATCAGCAATGGTGTTGTGTAGCTTAGATGACACGGCATCTCTATCTTTTCAGTGATCTTCAAGGTGTGAAGACGTACGCCAAGAAGGATGGCAGCGACTGGATCCTCAATGGCAACAAGGTAATGAGCTGTAAAAGCAAAACTGTCATTTCATCCGAACTCAACATCACCCTGAACTCTTTTTCGCTTTCACCTTTCCAGGTGTTCATCACAAACGGTTGGATGGCTGACTTAGTGGTGGTTGTGGCTGTGACTAACTTTGAGGCGAAGTCAGCGGCACATGGCATCAGTCTGTTTCTAGTGGAGAATGGCATGAAGGGCTTCCAAAAAGGACGCAAGCTGGAGAAGATCGGTCTGAAGGCCCAGGTACTAGAGCTCCTTAAATCTTCTTCCATCCTGCTAAAGGTCATGTGAAAGATTGACGTCAGGAGACTGTGATTCTGTCGTCTCACTATTTTTTTCTTCTTCTTGTAAAGGACACAGCTGAACTGTTTTTTGAGGATGTGCGACTCCCAGCTAGCGCCCTCCTGGGGGGACTCAACAAGGGTTTCTACTACCTGATGAACGAACTGCCTCAGGTGACAGGAAAATGTTAAACTCATTCACTTAAAGGGTAACTTATTGTATTTTCTACCTGAACCCTATTTTACCATGCATTTGAGTCTAAGTGACTAATGGGAACAACTATTTTTGAAATTGCTCCAGCATTGAGCGAGAGGGCTGCATCTGGCAGCCACAAAACGCCCTGCAATGTAACGTTAAAGGGCAATTGTGCACCATCAATGTATGTCCACTAAAAGTGCTTATTTTTGCCACTGACAGGTTCAGATTGTTGTTATAAGTGTCTGACAACATTATAGAAAGCATCCCTACAGAGATAGACCTTTTTGTTAAAGAGTAAGATCCTTTTTGTTTCACCACAAACAGCCCACCAGACCCCATTTAAAATAATAGTAATTTTATCATCATAAAACACACCTCATCCCAAGTCTACAGAAAAGAAATGAAACTCACAAAAGGCATCTTGGTTCGTCTTTCCCCTGTTTCAACAATCACCAACTCTTGTTTTGTTAAAATAAACCCTTAATTCATGCAGTTAGATGTGAAATAATGCTGGCTCTATACATGCTAAAATCACTGTTTATTTGAATGGAGTCTGGTGGGTTTGGTGATAGCAATTTCAGGGCTGTTTCTGGTTAAACAAAAAGCATCTTTCTCTTCAACAGAAAGGTCTATCTCTGTAGGGATCCTTTCAATAATGTTGTCAAACACTGCATGAACTTGTTTCGAGTTAATTTGTGTTGCTACAGAGATACCTCTGCACAAGGAACTCTGTAATTGCTTCGGTTCAGCCAGTCTGATAGTAGATCTTGTTATCATTTTATGGCGAAGGAGCGTCTGGCGATTGCTGGCATGGCCATTGCGAGCTGCGAGTTCATGTTTGAGGAAACCAGGAACTACGTGATGCAGAGGAAAGCTTTCAGCAAGACGGTCGCTCATCTCCAGGTCTGTATAACAAGGTTTTTTCTGAATCTTGTGTTTTTACCTGTGTGTTATGTACTGTTGAAACTGTAACCGGCAGCCAAGAGTTTCAGAAGTTAAGGTTTACCTAAATCTACTGTTTTGAGATATCTTCATCACACACTCCATACCAGTCAAAACGTAAGAGAATAAATATCATTGCATCTAATTTTACTTCACAGACTGTTCAACACAAGCTGGCAGAGTTGAAGACTGAGATCTGTGTGGGCCGATCCTTCATAGATAACTGCCTTCAGCTCCACGCTGAGAAACGCCTGGATGCCGCAACAGCTTCCATGGCCAAGTTCTGGTGAGAATGTGTTAGCTTCTCATCTTAAAAAAACAGGCTATGTTGCAGCCATTTGCTAATGTCCTTCGCCTTCTCTCCAGGGCTTCTGACCTCCAGAACAAGGTGGCCACTCAGTGCCTGCAGCTCCACGGAGGCTGGGGCTACATGTGGGAATACCCCATTGCCAAGTAAGTACCACATAAGCTCTGTACCAGAGGGTCGGTATAACATCAGGGAAGAACGCCAAATTGTTCATATTCCAGCCCTTCTACAAGTTGCTGGACTTGTCTCGCTTTGTCTTTCCAGGGCGTTTGTGGACTCCCGTATTCAGCCTATCTACGGAGGCACCAACGAGATCATGAAAGAGCTCATCGCCCGCACCATCGTCAGCCAGAAGTGAGAACTTTGGATGTTTTCACGGTGGAGGCAGACTGGGGGAAGTGGGATGCTTTGCACAGGTGTTTTTTCTTAGTTCGCCATTTGTCTAAATTGGGTTAAAGCAGGTGTCTCTGGTGTTTCTTAGACAGAGCAGGGACCCTTACTGCATATCGTCCTATTGTTGAAAGTTGCTTGTTAAACTGGGCCTACAGTAAGGTAATGTAGGGCAGTCTAAAGTGCCAACTATAAACTTACCTTTTTATTCATTTATACATCATGTTTGTTTCTGAGGTGGATGGTATTTCTGAATCTCATGCTCGAAAAATTACAAAGCAATCCACTGTGGCTCACAAGGATGTTGGTACACTTGAAATAATAATACAGCTTACTGGCCAGTGTGTATCAATAGCACGTAACCGTTAGCTTACTAGTTTGCCTCGCTGTTGTAAACCGGTGCTACACAGTAATTAAGGGTTAGCTAGCTAACATGATTGCACAAGGTTTCAAGGGTAATAGTCTATCATGAATACCATGTGCCTTGAATGACCTACCTCTTACAGATGGAAAATTAAATTTGTTGATTTTAAAGGCTGACAAAAATAGAAAGAGCACTAAATGCCAAACATTGTATGAACAAAACCTTCAATAACCTCAATCAAACATGTTGTATTTCACATCGTTGGTTAAAAAAAACAACTTATTTCTATGTTTGTTTCTGTCCACTCACTGTAGCGTTAGTCGTGTGTATATAATGTATTGTATATATTGCACTAAAAATAATAGATTCCAGCCAGAAAGTATTTTTGTAAATAATTGGGTTGTTTGTTGATGGTGTGTTGAGTATTGTAGCTGCATAAAAGATTAATTAATCAGATCTATGTGCCTTTATCCCCTTCGGACCCAACGTCCATTGGAATGGACATGACATATTTCTGTCTGTAAACCAATAAATACCCTGTAATTGAATGATGTCAGTAATGCTGGTTACTGATTGGATCCTGATTATCCAATCACAATCATGTCATGACTTTGAGCACGGTCTGAGGGAGTGACACACATCGGACAAGACAAGCATGGTGGAGCAACTGCAGAGGGGGAGGAGTAAGTGCCCATTTTCAATCAAAAATATAAATTTATGTTCATGCTGGCCAAACAAATTTGCTGTCAGCATAATTGTAACTGTAACAAGTGATAATATTTGAAGTTATTTTGAACATATATCATTAATTTACAGGATTTTTTCAAAGTTCGAGTTGAGCGAGTTTAGCTAACACTCACATGTTTAGTGTCAGTATATAAAGAAACAAAATACCTGTAAGCTTTCCATAGGTAAAGTATGGTGTCACAGTTTATTTATTGGGACCAGGAGTGAGATAGGTGGTAAGTTTAGAAGTTGAGTGTTTTTAGTTCTTCATATGTGGTTTTCATCAATTTAATGTCTTATATGTAAGATCTAAATGGAATGCATAACAGTTAAAGAGTGAGAATACATAAAATTAGTTAAAATGTGATTGTTTTGTTATTAGATTCAGAGAGGGACAGTGGAGAGGTTACATGCATGCCAGAAGAACTTGATGTGGCAAATGAGATTGAGATAGAGGAGACAGACAGTGCAGGGACAGAGGAGGACAGAGGAGGACAGGAGGAGATGACAGTAACCAGGAAGGAAGAAATCAAGTGGCGTCACTTTCATGAGGATCATCCCATGAGACCCTATGAATACTTCAAACGGTATATACCAGATGAGATCTTCAATTTGATGGCCGACAACACAAATGTTTATGCCTTGCAAAGTGGTACACTAAGTTTCAAGCCAACAAGTTCAGAAGAGATCAGAACCCTAATCGGTCTCCACCTTGCTATGGGAGTGATGAAAATACCAAGAGTCTCCATGTACTGGGAAGCTGGGATGGACATTGGTATTTTTCAAAACACCATGCCCCGTGACAGATTCTTCCAGCTCCGGTCACATTTGCATTTGGTCAACAATTTGGAGAAGCCAGCTGAGAATAAGGATGTGTTTTTCAAGGTACGTCCTCTCTATGATGCCATACGCAGTAGATGCTTGGAGCTTCCACTAGAGGAGAACCTTTGCGTTGATGAACAAATGGTGCCATTTCGCGGAACTCTGTCTGTCAAGCAATTCGTCAAAGGCAAGCCACACCCATGGGGGGTGAAAATATACTTCCTGTGTGGGAAAAGTGGCATGGCCTACGACCTCCTGCTGCACCAAGGCACTACAATGGAGCTATCACAACAGCACAGGAAGCAGCTGGGACTTGGAGCTGGAGTGGTATACCATCTTAGCCAGCGAATCACTGAGGCCAACCACAAGTTGTATTTTGACAACTATTTCACAACATACAATCTTCTGGAGCTGCTGGCTGAGAGGAAAATTCATGCCGCTGGGACAGCAAGGGTCTCTAGATTTGCCAGGCCTCCTCTACAGTCTAACAAAGAGATGGCCAAAAAGCCTAGAGGAAGCTGTGATGAAGTTGTAAGCCGTGATGGTAAGGTGGCACTGGTCAAAAGGTATGACAACAGACCAGTTCTCATGGCCTCCAACTTAGTTGGTGTTGGCAGAATGGATGAAGTGCAGCGGTGGGACAAAAAGAAGGCCCAGTTTGTGATGGTGTCCCGTCCAGAGGTGGTTAAGCTGTACAATGAAGCAATGGGTGGCGTTGACCTGCTTGATCAACTTGTCAGTCTGTACCGTACAGAAATTAGGTCAAAAAAGTGGACCCTGAGAATGATAACACATGCTTTTGACATGGCTGTGGTCAACAGTTGGTTGGAGTACAGGCTGGACGCCAAGACGGCCAATATTCAGTCCAAAGACATCCAGGATCTCCTCCATTTCAAGATGAATGTGGCCCAGTGTCTGGTGAGAGTCCATAAAACAGTGGCAGCAAAACGTGGAAGACCCAGCATGTCTCCAGAACCACAGCATGTCCCCCAGAGACCAGTTCGCACACCATTTCAGGATGTAAGGCCTCTACCTGAAGTGCAGTACGACATGGTTGACCACATGCCAAATTATGATGAAAAGAAAGAGGCTACCAGATGCAAGATGCCAAACTGTACAGGAAAAACACGTCTTTTGTGACAAGTGCAACATCCACCTGTGCTTTGTGCCACAACGAAACTGCTTCAAGGCTGCTCATCGAAAATGAGACTACATGAAAACATCCACAAGCTGATGTCTTCTCAAGTTCAGGTTCCAGTTCCATTCCAAGTTAGCGTGTTATCAGTTCATTATCCTACTATAAAAAGTATGGTTATAAGTTCCATGATAGTTTACTGAAGGCAAAACTGATTTCAGGTAATCTTATCTACAATCATACATCTTGTGTTCATGTGCACATTCAGATTGCGTTATTTCCTTCTCTTCTTGCAGGCTCCGGGTTTCCTGGTGATGACCTCACTGCTGTTCCCTACCCATGCTGTGATACACCTATCAAGTTCATGTGCATGTTCAGAACTGTACACAGACTCAAACACATGCAAACATCCAGTTCCAGATGTTTAGGTTATACCTGATTGATTACTATGTGGAAAAACTCAGCTTTATTTTTCTTAAGTTTTTATGACATTTTACACCCATCGTGTTGTGGCGTCCATTGGAATGGACATGAAAAAATTCTATTAAAAACATGAGTTAGCAAAAATGTGTTTTTTGCACTTTGTTTTTATGTTGGAGAGGAGTCAGAATTAGTTAAAAAAAAATTTTTTTGCTCAGCAGAAAAAATGCAGGTCTGAAGGGGTTAAGTCAACACTGAAATTGTCCAACTATGGCTGTCCACCTGATGAAATAAATGAAGTTCAATGTTTAGCTGTGCAGTATTTTTCAGAATCGACAGAATATTCAAATGTAAGTGTCTGAATCCTGTAATATGGAAAATAATTACAGAAAATTTATGACTTGAGAGTAAGAGACTGAACACAGCTACCCAAATGAGGATTTTTCTTCATTGCAAGTTCAGATATTGACACAGTTTATTTGTATGATTCAAGCAGTATACAGTCCAATGCAAGGAAGTAGTCCAATATGGTTAGTCAGCTTGAGTCCTCATCTTTTTGATATGTTCAATAAAAGGTCTCCACATTTTATAAAACTTGATGAGGGAGTTGGACAGAGTGTTCCGAAATTCCTTAAGATGTAGACAAGAAACCATGTCATTTAGCCATTTTGTAAAGCAAGGAGGGGAGGCAGATTTCCATTCTCACAAGATAATGCTTTTTCCATACATCTGAGACATATATTACAAATAAGCTAATATTTTACATTAGATTACAGGTAGATCTTGAGAGTATGTCAGGGTGTGAATTTAAGGCATGTGATTGAGAGAGTTAAAGATGAATTGATGTAAATGAAGTGCCCATAGGGACTTGGGTTGGGAACCAGAGGGGTCGTCGGTTCAAGTCCCCATCTGGGGAAAAAAATTGACCCTTTTATATGTCCTTCTAAACTGAAGAAAAACTTGCTAGACACCATCCCCTGTGCATTTCCTTACACCCACCAATAGGTGGCAGCAGATGCATGGATAAATGGGTCAGACAAATGAAAAATGACCAAGTGTCCATTTGATTCCAATGCAGCACACTCAGCAGGCAACAGCAGACTGTTGAATGTGACTGGAAGATTTAAAGCAGCTTTCTCAGTTTTATAAATTATATGGTACAGCATGCTGTAGCAATGTCTGGGTACCATGTATCAGACTCTTTGTGGATGTGGTGTATGCGCCTGAATATGCACAGCATGCCAGTCTGACTCCCTGATGCCCAAAAAACCCACATCAGTGCCAGTTGAGGAGGCAGACGGCATCCCCACCACGCCTCACCTGGGGGGGACAGAAGTGCAGCTATTGCTCACTGATGCATTTTCCAACCCCTCCTTTTCCTTCCCCTCTTTCTCCCATCTTCTCTCGTGCCCCATCCTTCCCACTCTCCCTTTGGCATCGCATCCACATTATCCCCTTCCCTCTCCTCCTCTCCTCCTCCTCCCCCCCCCCTCCCCCCTCTCTTCTCCATGTTTCCTCAGCAACAGCCACACCCCGCTGCTTTCAGCTCTGCACTCATTTCCACTGCGGACACAGTGCATCCCCTTTCAGCAAAGCAGCACATTATAGACATGCAAAACCCTCTTTAACCATGATTCTACGTTTCCTTACACCTGTCTGGCTTCATATCAGTGTATATCTGCATGCTTTTGTTGCATTTACACTCATAAAAATGTTGCACATATGCCATATAGGAGGGATTGCCCTGTCATGCACATCCACATAATCCTGCTGCGCCTACACTGCTGCACTTACGGTATCTTAATTTGCGATGGGAGGGATCAGAGGGCCCCATACCGCTCTCATTGTCACTACAGCTCTCTGCCTTCACACAAACACACACACAAGGGTATTAGTGCCGCTCAGCAGCCTAAACCTCCAGGTAAGAGCTCAAGCTCTTTGTTTGTCATTTACTTGCCTTATAATAAATACCGACAAGCATGCATGTAGACTTTCAGTTATTTTAATGCAGCACAGGCAGCTGTAAAAGTTTCTTTAAAATTAAAAGTCAAAGTACATTAATGTTGCTGTCCACTAATCCTCAGCTGTGTGTATGTGTATGTGTGTGATGTACAGTTATGCGTGGATTTAGAGATGTAAAATGATGGCGCGCAATCTCGACAGGGAGTTTCTAACTCACTGTGGCTTTCAAGTGATTTAAGAGTAAAAATTGAGTGTGTGCACGTGTGGAAATGTGTGAAACTGCGTTTTAGTCGCTGTTTATTTTTGGCTGTGTTGCTGCGTCCTGGTGCGCCTCTGTCCGCTGCAGCAGCCTGCGCCTTTTGTTCTGGTCCACGCCTGTATGGTGCTGAAACCGGCGCTGCCCCCCAGCTATTCACTGCAGCACAGGGGAGCAGACTAACCTGTGAGGAAAGGATGGGGATTTAACATGTAGATGTGTAGAGAATTTTAACTGAAGTCATATTTGCGCATTTATATATTGGCTCATGTCTTGCCCATGACCATGGCTTGTGGATATGGGAGTAGCCCAGCTTGTAGTTGGCATCTTGTCTGCCACAGCCAGTTGCCCTTGCAGTCATTACCAGCTTGCATCAGCAAAAGGTGGCTTGCACTGATGTGTATGTGTGTATTTTATGTTGAATTAAGTTAAATTTCTGTTATGACAGCCCTGATTCCTCATGTCTGCAGGCTATAACGGAAGCCCTGATGGGTGGTGATGTCTATTTTATACATATATTCAGCCATTGATAATGATCTAGAAAAGCCCAGACTTCCATTAAGCATGGATCTGTTCCAGACCTGCCTCCTTTCAGTGTCGCCTCAGCCTCCACACACCGAGCAGAAACAGGAACCATAGATTTCCCATGTCTGGATGTGAAAACATTCCTTTTGTGAAAAGGTATTAACACTCTCATGAAACTGCGCTCCAGTTTTTGTGTCGGCACATTCCGATTGCTGTCTCATAAGACCCCCGGGTATGGGAGATATATAATGAAAACAACACCCTCACATGCTGATGATGTACAATCATATGGTGGGTTTTGACTCAGACTGAATGAGATTTAAGTGTTCACGTGTTTCTTGCTTTGAGGCTTAGCAAGTCATTTAAAGCCAAGAGTCATACACCCTTTTGGATGTTTAATCAGATTTTATCTCCCTTCAAAGCCAGACGGCGGTAGACCAATGTAAACTGGTGAAAACACTCTCAATATAGTGTTCACTTAAACTGATAATCATTTTTTTAGGTGGCTAAAAGACGTTTTGCTGCTGCCCCCATCCACAGCAGTGCATTGCTCAGCTTCTGTGTCAGCCCTTCTGCTGCTTCTCCAAACTTGGACCATGCTAACAGACATCTACTGTCTATAATAAACTGACTATGGATAATTACCTCATACAACCCCACCTCAGAAGATCCAAACTGTCCCTTTAAGGCAAACCTTGGAGGTTGGTTGTCAATTAACCTCACATACAGTGCAAAGAATGGGCAGAAATCCATACATATGACTACACAGATAGAAAAACTGGCATTAAATGAAACATTAGTTCATTACCTATTTAAACGTAGATTATGTGTTTTTCAGTTCGGGCCAAATAGATGTTGACAACGTGTATTACAGTCGAGACGTGTGTCAGGTTTCACCTACTTGCCTCCTGTAAGGACAAACCTCCATCCGACCAGATTGGGCTGTGTCTAATCACTGATGGAGTAATTGAAATGACCTTAATCACGTAACAACAGGTTGGGTTTTGTGTGTTTACTTGCATAAGCTATGAAAATACGACTTATCTAAATCTCAAATTTAATTCTAGTGGGCTCCTCCTGTGTTCATGTATGTGTGTGAGAGCCATACATTCAGGCACTTTGTGCTTTTCCAACCACTGGGAAACCCAATCCACCTCCGTGCACCACGCAGGAACGTTAAGTATATTTCCCAATGTCAATTCTGGTTAGGTGCGCCGTCAAAATCCTGAAACCACAGAACCACTCTGTGCTCCACTGAAATTAAGACACGCTGTATTGGCTGGTGCTTCCTTCCTCCTGGGAAGGAATTGTTTTGGAACAATGTTCGGCATAAAGATCAGTTTCTGGATTTGTTTGTGGATTGATAGTTGGACTCAGTTTTGCTTATTTGTGAAGGAGAGTGTTTGGTTTATGTGCATGCCGTAATGGGTTTTGGAGGTATGTCAGTGGTGATATGGATCTCTTTTGTGTGTGTTTGCGTGCAGTCTGGGAAGTAGGTGAACACAGTGTGATCTAGTGCCATCGTCACAGGTGTTTGAGGTCTTTGTCCCCTGCTGCTCCTCCCGTCTGAGGCCTTTTTGCTCTACAGGTGTCTAATGGGAGCTGGCAGAACTGTGCTTTAGTCCGTGATTAAGTCTTGACTGTGAGAGGGACCTAATCTAATTCACATACATCGGACAAACCAAACGGCCCACTGACCTGCATGTGGAGCAGGCTCACACACACACTGATTCCTGGCACACTAGAGTGCTTTTTGATGGACGTAGAAGAATGAAATTACAGATGTGGAGTAAATCAAAAAGCTGATAGTGTGAAGTGTTGTGATGCTATCACCTGTACACC